AATTGAACTATCAAGTAAATTTCTGTGTATTTTATTCGCTATTATTAATTTTTTTAAAAATTACTAATTATACAGAGGAAAAGGAAAAAAAAATCACTGGGATACGAAAACTCTTTAACATTCAGTTACTTTTGTTCAGTCGCCAAGTTGAACGGATAAACATGAAACTTGTTTCCAATATGTTTCTGGTTGTTTATTCACAGATTCACTTGGCACAGTCTGGTGCATGACACTTGGGACCACTTCTACTTCTGTCCCAACAGAATCACACTTCCATTTAGCCTGCCTATCTTTCTAACATGATCCGCAGCCTGTTTTTAATTCTCAGTGACTTTACTTATACGAGCCTCCAAACGGAACTTCCCAACTTCCGGCCCAGTGGCACTTGATCCAGAAAATTGTATAGGATAATACAATAGGTATACATGTAATGCTATACAACTTGATTTTCATCATAATTGGTTAATTATTTCAATGAACTCTTGACTGTTACTTTTAAGAGAATATGTTGAACACAGTTTTGAGAAAATAGCGTTTGAGAAAAAATTAATTTAAGGAAATCTGTCATATTCCAAGCTGAAACACTGTCTCTCCTAAATTAATGCTGGCTAAATGATTTGTGTATTAACCAAAATGTGATAACAAAAAGAAAAAAGGGGTTTGATTTAAGATCAAAGGATTCTTTGATATGATATTGTTCTAATCCTGGAGTATTTTCAACTGAGTGTAAGTTGAAAAAGAACAATTTATTACTTCTCAGAGTGTGGGACATATGACTATAGTAATGTTTTTTACTTTTTGGTTTTGTTTGATTTTTTGCTTTCAACTCTTATTTACTCATGGCGGCAGCAGCTGGTATCTAAAAATGTATATAAAAATGTTTGCTCTCAATTAATGCTGGCTAAATGATTTGTGATAACGGAAAGAAAAAAGGGGTTTGATTTAAGATCAAAGGATTCTTTGACTTAATCTTGTTCTAATCCTGGAGTATTTGATATGATTTTTGTTTTTGTTTTTTTTTTTTTTTCATCCTAGAAAAATAATGTTTTGGGGGGGAAAAAAAAAGTTATGTGATCAGGGCCGGTGTGTATTACTCATGAAGCCTGGTGTAGTATTTTGTGGTCCTTGCCATCTTATCAACATTTGCTTCTTTTTTTTTTCCTACCTACATTTATATGTGTTACAAATTAAACTAAGCACAAACGACTATTAAAGGATTACAATTATTCATGGATTTTGACGTCATTCCTGGGATTTTTTTTAATCCAATCAGTGAATTTGTTTTGTTTATGCTAAGTCTAGAAAAAAAAATGCTATAAAATTCACTATTTGTTTTTATGTATAATGTTAAATGTGTTAAAATTATTCAATTTTTTTTTAACTAGAAAATACTGAAGTTGATGCTAAAAATTACTGCAAAACATTGTTGATTTATTCAATATAGAATGATGTATTATGACATGTCTCTTATTTTTATTTAGATACATTATATTTATTTTGAATTTTTCTACTTTAATTGTTCACCTATATTGCATGTGATCCATTATTGCACATTATTAGGTTACAATAAATATTTTATATGAATACTACCTTATAAAAATTGAGATGTAGTATCGTAGATTCAGGGTGGGGCATGGGACCCTTGCACTGGCCCCTATGGGATATTAGAAAATGCTATGTTCTGAAATCAAACAGAAATTACTAAACTCCAAACTTTGTTATCTGGAATTTAGAAAAAAAAAACTTCTAGCTAATAAATTTTTAGTATTTAAAAGATTTTTTTTGGGTCTTTATCACTTTCCCTGCTTCATTTCCATAGCATTGTTGCCCGGCAGACACACCAATACCCAGTATAATAAAAGTATGTCACAAAACTAGTCATATTGTACACTAATATATATCTACACTAGTTTGGAAATAATACTAAGTGCTAATTAGTTTATAACAGAAACATATGTATGTATGTATGTGAGATAGATATATATATATGTATGTATATATAAATTTGTCGAAAGATTTTTGTATTTTTCTATTGTTAGCTGTTTTCAATGTTGATAGTATGCCATAACGTTATATAATTTTGTCGACATGAAAAAAAATTACTAAACATCAAAAGAATATATAAAACTTTTTAAAGATGTATATATCATTATCTCATACTATTGACATGGGAAAATGCCAAACGCACACAAACATATACATATATATATATATATTCATATAACCACTCTGAAGATGGCTCATGTGAGGCAAAAGCTGAGATCAAGGAACAACATAATAAAAAATATCCAGATGTTGGACAATTTTTGTCTTTATTTTTGCCTGGAAATAAAGCAACTATATGCTATTTAGAACGACACATGGTCAAACATAATAGACATTCGTTGTCTGTTATATTTAATAATGTGTTTGAATAATATATATATAAGAATGTATTTTTCATTTATTAATTCAACATATTTAATTTATTGTTTAAATGTTATTTTTAATAGATACCCATATTTGAGTAGATGTTCTGTTTTTATTTATTTATTAAACAGTTTATTTATTCCCATCTACTGGCCTGAATATTTGAGAAATCTTGTTAGAAAAGTAACCTCCCAGAGGGCACATATTTTTCTAACAAGATTTCTCAAATATCCAGGCCAGTAGATGGAAATAAATATGCTATTTATTAAATGAATAAAAACAGAGCATCTACTTAAATATGAGTATCCATTAAAAATAACATTTAAACAATACACACACACACACACAGACAGCAATGTAAACGCAAATGAGTTAATGTCATCCTATTTCAAGAATTGTGCTTGGCATTTATTTTCTACTTAAAGAATACTAGCACATTCCAACTATTTACAATTAAAGTTTTTGAAGACTCCATAAAAAAAATAAAAAATGTTCACTTATAATGACCTGTGTCATGTTTTCTGTGTTTATTATTTTTTAAATGCTTTATTAGATTTTCAGTTTAGTTCATGATAAGCATAAGTTCATGTTAAAAAAAATAATAACACATCTATATTTTCTATTAATAGTTCATTCAAGATTTTTTTAACCCAAACTTGGCAAAAACAAATTTGCTTTGTTTCTAAAAGCAATAATAGTTCTTCCATTTAGATCCAATTTTTTTTTCAAATTTAGTGATAATACAAATATCTTTTATTACTATAAAAGTCTGTGAACGTTGCTTCTGTGTTTGCCAGAAGTCATATATAGAGTGGCGAAAGAAAGATATGAATTTATTCTCATGTAGGAAGCAGGGGGAGAGAAGGAAATGGAGGAAAAAAAAAAAAAAAACGGTTTCTTTTCCCATGATTAAATGCATGCTTATTTTTATTTTATTATAGTTTTCTTTAAACAAACAATATTTTAAATATTTTTATTTCAACTTTCTTCAGATAATTTTTTAATGTTGAAATTAACTTCAATAGCTGCAAGTAAATGTATTCTTAAAATATCTCTACTTTCACAAACTCTTCATGAAACTAAATGTAAACAGTAATCATAACAAGGGTGACCCCAGTCACAGGTGGTCTAGTCCTTCAAGCTTCTTTTGTCATTTGGGCTTAATTTACCAAGTGCTTAACTTTTGTGTACGCCATTTATTAAAAGCTTGTCGCCATTGGTGAGAAATAGGATGTTTTTTTGTTTTTTTTTTTGTTTTTTTTTTAAGAAATGACTTTCTTTTAGAATATAATGTAATATATATGTTGTTGTTTTAATGAATCAAGTATATTTTTAACCAAAGATTAGCAGAAAAAGTATAATGACAACAAAATTAGTTCTTACAATTTGAACCAAATGTTTTTACACATTTAGAGATAAATAATACAAATATCTAAATTTAAGTCTCTTCTTTTGACTTGATTTTAGAATATAATGTAATATACATATTGATTCAAGTATTTTTTTTTAACTAAAGATTAACAGAAAACATAAATTTCTTGCTTTGTTTATAAAAAGCAGTAATAGTTCTTACATTTAGATCCGAATGTTTTTCACATTTAGAGATAAATAATACAAATATCTGAATTTAAGTCATTCATTTTTCATTTAGGTTTAATTCACCAGTTTAAAAAGAAGAGCTTAAATTTTGTGTATGCCATTTATTAAAATCCTGCCATTGGTGCGAAATAAGATTTAATTTTTGTTTTTTTTTAAGAAATGACTTGTTTTTAGATTGTAATGTAACATACATGTATTTTTTTACTAGATTGACAGAAAAAGTACAATCAAATTTTTCTTGCTTTGTTTATAAAATCAAAATTTGTTCTTAAAATTTGGTCCAAATATTTGTCAAATTTGGAGACAAACTGTTGAAATAGCTAAACACAACTGCCACGTCTAATCCAACAGTTTCTTTTCTCGTGTGTGGAAATCTCTTCCATTTACTTGCTTCCCTGATAAGTATAATCTTCCAAAATGTAAATGCAATGTCAATTGCCATCGTCTATCTTCTTGAACCTGACTCATTTTTGTCCTTTTCTCGATTATCTTTATACTTAGTCTTTTCCACTCATTTTCGCTTCCTGTAACCTCCTGCATAATTGCTAATGGCATTTCTGCCTTGCTTGGAGTGAAATGATTAAAAAAAAAAATAGAAATATTTACATTTAAGTCCTTCATTTTTCATTCATCAATTTAAAAAGAAACACTTAAGTTTTACTTTTATTTGTGTGGCTATGTGATCCATTTATTAAAAGCCTGCCACTGTTGGTGAAAAGTACAAATTTTTGTTTATTTTAAGGATATAATAAAACTTTAATTAAAATGGTATCATCCCAGTTTTATTCAAAGCTAGTTTCCCTGGGATGACATAAATCTTGAACTCAAGAATTGAGATCCTTGTCATTGACAATTTTACTTATAAATGCCATCTACTGCTGGTTAGTATTTGTAATTTCAGTTCCATGTCATTAAATTATTGATCGCTGCTTTCCGTTTTCTTTTTGTCAAAAACACTTCTCAATGTCAGATTCAATTTCTCTCTTTTAAAGGAAATCCAGGCTGTGTTTGCAGTGTATGGCATCAAAGTTGACTACAGACATTTGTCCCTGATTGCTGACTACATGACTTTTGGTGGGAAGATCCAAGCCTTTGACCGCGGTCACATGATGTCCTGCTCATCTCCTTTCCAGCAGATCTCATTTGAATCTGCATGTCATTTTTTGAGTCAAGCAACCCTTGGTGGACTATCAGACCATCTGAAATCACCGTCAGCCTGCCTTGTAACAGGAAAGCACGTCAAAAGTGGGACAGGATTTTTTGACCTTTGTGTTCCTCTCAAATCTTGAAATAAAGATATTTACTTTTGTACTTTTTTTATTTTTAATATGTCTATTTAGTTTTCTTTTTCATGGTCCGGTATTTTGTCGATTTTCTGAACTTTGTCTATGTGGATGAGAACTACAAAGAAAAATTGAAATCATCCGAACATTTTTCACTTATCCAAACTAAACCTACTCTAACTACAACTTCACCAACCTGTTGTCCTGGGTATGACAAACTGCATTCATGTCCTGGGTAAGATGATAAACTACATCCGACAGCAAGGCCTCTGATCAGGTTTTGAGGAGCATGGAACCACCTCTTAACTGCTGGTGCTCCCAGGACCACCCTGATCTTGGGTGGTAGCACCTGTTCGGGTCCCAGCTATGGACAAATAGTTAAACCCCAAACTGTGGTCAAAATGTGTAAAAATAGGTTTTAATACCAGCAAATCATTTTTGTAAAAAAAATTATTACCAGGAATAAATTTTTGAAGAACAAATTATTACCAGTAATACTTTTTTATATAAAATATTACCAAAAATACTTTTTGAAAACTAACATTACCAAAAATAAAAATGTCAGCATTAAATAACCCTCTAAGGTTGATATGCTGTAAACCAAACCAACCTGGGCATGAAGCTGATGCCACCACGAATCATCACTGGCAGCAACTTCATTGAGTTTGACACATCTTTTATATTTGGGCTCATAAGTTTCCAACACTTGTGACCTCACAATAGAGATCAACAGAAGATGTGGGATGGCTAAATACAGTATTTCCCCCATTTATCTGTACTTCAATTTTTTTTGAACTTTTATTATCCAGACATTAAATGAAAATTGATGAAAAATTTTCCTGATTGACAAGACATCTCATTTTGGATTCAAATTTGAATGATAAAACAATGAAAAAGTGTGGAAGAATACATGTTTGTGATATAGTAATGTTGAGCTTATAACCATACCATCCTAAATACCATCCTGGAATATGCTAAAGAGGAGGAAGATGATAATGATATTGGCCATCTTGAACCTAAATGCCTGACTTCAGACTCCAAAGCAATGATTGTTTGACAAATGTGTCCCTTTCCATCTGAAGAGCTGCCCTTATAAATAAATCTGCTATAATCCAATCAGCACTCAAAAAAACATGAGGTTAACCAGAAAAAACTGAAATTGACTAATACAGTGTAACCTGGATATAAGAGAGATTTTCTCTGGTCCCAAATTAGAGCCTGTGTTAATGTATATAAAATAGACAAAACCCGGATATAAGAGAAACCCGGATATAAGAGACTTCTTCTCCAGTCCCGACAACTCTCTTATATCCGGGTTACACTGTAATAAATAAACTGGACATAAACCTTGAACAAAGTGTTTGAAAATGTTATTTGATTATAGAAATGCTAAATTTCTTTCAGAAAATGACTTTTTTTTTTCCTTTCGTTCTTATTTACATGCAAACTATTGTCCTCATCTTTGTTGTTGTTATCACAAAGTTTCGACTGCTGTGCCCTCCAGACTTCATGTATATGTTAACCCAGGTAGCCAACAGGGAATTCAGAATTGAACCCTTTATTTAATCTATGGGGGTAGACTGTTCCACTGATCATATGGATATCTCATCTAGTTCTTAATTAGTATTACTTAGTTATTGTTTGCCCCCATTTCCATTGAGTCCAAGTACACCCTGCCCAGCACAGGGATTGAACTCACAATTACTATATAACCAAATTCATGAACCAATGCTTGAATCAACGAGGCCAGAAGTCAGCAGCCTTTTGCTCTGTCCCAACTTAAGGGTTTTAAAATCATTCAGTGTGCCAACAGCATACATATTTTTATACAAGTCAAGGTCAATATACCTGTTCTACAATATATTTTATACACTAATATATAGTATATATACTTTAGTATATATTAAAACTGAAACAGCTAAATTTCTTCTTTGTGTTGTAGTATTTATTGCTTTAGACTTTGTGATGTCATTTGCAGTTGCGTGCCATTGGGAATTTCTTGGTGTGGCACATGTGCCATAGGTTGCTGCTGGGCTGTTATCTTGAAATGTAATTATCTGACATTTTGAATCATCTGAACATATTTTTTCAATTCTGGTCCCAAGTTCTCTGAATAATCTTTATTAAAAGGAAAGACCAAAGATTTTCTCATATTTTTAAATCCTTTTTTAGAACCTTCAAAATTTTGGTTAAAAATTAGTTCAACTGTAATTAATTTCTCTGTTGTTTTTATACAAAGGACTTATATTTAAATTATCACAGTGGCTGCGGTATTGTTAAACTTATAACCATGCTGGAAAATGTCGAAGAAAGATGGCTGGTATTGGCCATGTTGAAATTCAACAAGAATCTCAAACACCAAAGCAATGATTGTTTGACAAATGTACCAGTTGGTTGCGCTTTCAATCTAAAGGTACCAGTTACAAATAAATCTGCTATAATCCAGTTAGCATCCAAAAAATATGAAACCAACCAGATACAGACTAAAATTGACTCATTTTTTTTTTTCCTAAAAAAAAAAAAATAAAATAAACTGGTCAAAACCTTGAACAAAATGTTTGAAAATGTTATTTGATTATAGAAATGCTAAATTTTGTTCAGAAAATTACTTTTTTCTTTGTTCTTATTTCCGCACGGACTTTTGTCCTCATTTTTGTTGTTGTTATCACAACGTTTCAACCATTGTGCCCTCTTGCCTTCATCAGGTGTATGTTAACCCGAGTAGTCTACAGAGAATTCTGACTGAACTTTTATGTAATCTATGGTGGTAGACTGTTCTAGTTCCACTTCTCATGTCTATGGGGAATCATGTCTAGTTCTTTAGGAAGGCATACTCAACATTCAAAAGACCAAAGAAATGATTGTTTTGACATGTCAGTTGGTTGTGCTTTCCACCGGAAGCTACCCTTACAAATATATCTACTTGAATCCAGCTTCGGGTGTTAGTGGCAGGAAAATGTGAGGTCAAATGCAGAGACAAAAATTGGCATTTTTAATCAAAAATAAACTTGACAAAATCTTGATCAAAGCATTTGAAAATGTTATTTGATGACATAAATGATACATTTCTGAAAATGACTTTTCATCTTTCTTTCTTTTTTTTTGATAATTTCGGTAATTAATTATCCAGAATTATAAATTGTTCAAACATATTTTGTCTAATCAAATAATCAAAGAACTGCATTGCTATTGTAATTGAATGTCAAATTCAAGTTATCAGGAATTTGATATTTCTTTACTAATTACCGCCCCCCCCCAAAAAAAAACCTTGTGTGGCTAGCATAATAAATGTTTATCATGAAAAGTGAGGTTGGTGAGGCAATTTCAAATTCCTGCTTAAGCTATAATTAATTTCACATAAAGAACCTTGGTAATATCATTTATCTATCTCTTCTAACTCTAACCGCACAATCTATTGATTAAATAAAAGGGTAGAGTGGGACTCTCTAACTTTGGATAGAATCCTATCTAGGTGAAGAAAATGGAGTTCAAATTGTAGAGAGGGGAATTGTCTTTGCCAAAATGTCATGGCAATTCAAAAGTAATCAAGAAAAGGAATCTGTGGAGAGCCATGATCATCTTACATCCTGAAGGGATGTCATTAAAAAAAAAATCTAAAAAAATGGTAGACCATTTTTGTACTCTGGAATTTCACATTCGTCAATTTTAACCCACAAATTTAGGAAATAAAATTTTACTTATGATTAATAAATTTATCTTTTGAATAGGATCAAAATTTCAGATACCTTTTCGAAAGAAAATATAATTTACGTTTTGAAAAATCTAATAAGTTGTGGCGTAATGGTTATTGGTACAAAAAACGTGAAACGGCAAGCCAAGTGCAAATCTCAGTCTAGTTTGTTGCATTCATTTTGGGGTTTCTTTTCCCTCTATCTATGGATTAAATAGCAGCATAGACTGGACTATCTAGCCTTGGGTAACAGCCAGTCTAGGAGAAGGACAACTGTGAATTCTGGAAATTCACAGATGATAAAGGAAAAGAATCCCAGGACAGTCATCATTGCCTACATTTTGAAGAGAGATGAGAAAAAAGAAAGTTATAACTCAGTCTTCTCACTATGCGGGAAGCTGGTGGAACATCCCTGCGTGTGGCGACTAGGTTCATCAAGCGACGGGTAAACGCAGTCACAAAGGGATGACCAAGTAGACGACCCTCCCCCTTAAAGCAGATGGTCAAGGAAACCATGGACAAAATGCAAAAGGGAGATCCTGCAAGGCGCGAATGGTGTGTAAACGGATCTAAAATCAACGTATGGGTTAATGCAAGCTCCTTAGGGACGGGAATGGTGCTGGAAAAACATGGAAAAGAATGGAGCAACGTTATAGGATGCATTCTGGCTTCGGCAAACAAATGACGCCCAACATATCAATTTGTCTGCTGCAATCAAAGGCCTCAATTTGGCCCTCCAGTGGCACATAAAAGAGTCTGCATTTAATAACATTCTTTAAGTATCTCTAATTTTGGGCACTTTATATAGAAAGCAATTTCTTCATATTTTAGTCAATGGACTCTTTGGTTGCGGCTACCTCTTTGTGATTATGGTAGCGATCTAATTCCCGTCGCAGACGCCTGGCCAAACATATTTGTTTCTTTAACATCCGCAGTAGCAACCTGTGGTTTATACTAGCAACGATGCTGAGCAGACCCTTTTTTTATATGGTCTTAGGGGAGAGCGATTAATCTGGCATGAATAATATTTCTTTTAACAAGGCCTCCACGATCAAGCCCTCGATCACGGTGACTTGTGATTTCTATCGACAGCTTCCTGAACAGTTTCGTCGACACAATTTGATTCTTCCGAACAATGCCACACCCATGGACCGTCTTCTCTGGCTGATATTACCAAGGAGTCACCTCCCTTAATAAATCGACCATAGTGAGATTCAAACCTGGGTTGGAACGCTAATGAACTAACCACTCGGCTGCCGGCTCATTTAGCTTGAAATAAACTATTAGCTAAATAAGCACACACACACACACACGC